CATGCCACCCTCGAGTATCTCAAAAACACAGTATATCCAAACGTTAAAATTCCTTTTTTAAGCTCGGTTTTAAACCGTTATTCCATGACATTGTGTGACCATAGCACGAAGGCGATTATTAAACGCCACAATATGGCAAATATTCGGCATGCATAACGCGGAATGTCTTGCAATGCCATTGGTCGGAATTTGGGGTATCATCACACCGTCGTAAACCGTTTAGTCGAGAAACATGCTTAGACCGGTGATGTACAGGACCGTCCCAGATCCGGAAGACCTGTGATGACACATCGCGAAGACAGGGACCTTCTTCGTCTCATAAGTTGAGAACCCTTTTTAACAAGTACTCGTCTGAAACAGCTGTGGTTGCCCAATCGTCGTTTAAGCACCAGAACCGCCAGGAACCGATTGGATGCATCATGACTGAGAGCTCGGCGAGTCATAAAGCGTCCCTTGTTGAGAGATCACCACAATGTTGCTCGTTTAACATGGTGTATTGCGCGACAAAACTGAGAACTGAGAACTTGGAGACGGATCAATTGGTCAGACGAAAGTCACTTTCTGCTCCACGTCACTGATGAAAGAACGAGAGTTTAGAGGCACCGGAACACGGCCTACACCGGCCTACAGGAACATTAAACCGACTGTTGCATACGGCGGGGGCTCGGTGGTACCACAGGTGGCAACTAACAGGGGCTCAGTACATCGGGGACATTTTGAGGCCAGTCGTCGTTCCTCATTATGACAACCACCCTCTTGCTACTCGACCTAAGTACATGGATGACAATACCATGCCTCATCGTTCGCATACAGTCGTGGGTTACACAAGGGCCCAAGCGACTCTACCCTGGCCAGCAATGAGCCCGGATTTGAACCCCCTTGAACATGTTAGTGATATACTGGGGCGGCGCATACAGGCACGAGATCCTCCTGTACAAGATTTACGTCAATTGGAAGCAGCATTGCATCAGGAGTGGTTGTTGATGACCCATCAACAGATCAAACGCCTGACTGGCGGCATGAGACGTAGGGTGGAATGCGTCATCCTGGCACGTGGCGGTCATACCTGCTACTGATCTGTTTCACGTGTCATGTCAAGTAGAGACTTTAAGGAACATTTTCACATGAAACATCAAACGTAACTCGTTTACGTAATTCTACAGCTCCATACTAGTTTTATGTATTGTCTAAGGTGAAAAACAGTACCTGTGTTACCATGATGTTTTTGTCAGTAAATTCCAATCACAACTCTTATCCAATATCTTCTTCTTTTTTTTGTCAAATGTTTGTTCTATCCGATGACATTTGTATCGCCAAGCTCCTGTGGTCAGTCATCCCATGACATGATTTTGTGTCAATAACGTTTTTCTTTGTGTATATGCTGAGTACTGACCAACATATAAAACAAGTTCTCTATTTTAACAATGCTTCTTATGACCTTCGATGCGCATTGAAATACGTTCATTTGGAGTTTTCCATTTTTATCAATTCCTCGGAACTCGGAATCAACAATGTTGCCTTGGATTAAATGATACACTCGATATAGCGGCAAATGTTGTATTTGTGAATTAATGACATCGATTTCATTTGATAAGACTGGGAAAAGAGGCCGTCAAAAAGTACAACATATCCACATTGTCTGGGATGATTGATTTCGCCTCGAATATCCTGCCCTACCAGTAACTGGCTATTGTCAGTTAGGAGATGGATTAAGTTCCTGATGTCCTTGGCGAATCGACCAAAGGTAAGCATACGGACGTAGACATCGTCAACAAGTACTTTCTTCACAATGGATATGTTCTGTAATGGTAGCCAAGTAGCAGATTGCCAGAAGCCACTGGACCGCAGACACTTCCTTTACTGTGGCACAGGTTGAATCGCAAATTATTAAATCTTACAAAAATATAACTGCAATAAATAAAAGCAACAAAAGATTTTCCGTAACCATAAGAAAGCTCTGCTGAATGCCACACTGAATGCATTCTTACAGTGAGTGAGTGAGTTGGGTTTAAAACCGCTTTTAATATTATTCCAGTTATATCGCGGCGTGTCAGCTTAATGTGGGAGGAAAGCCCGAAGTGATGCAGGTCTCAGAGGTTTATCACTTCGGTGAAACCCACGAGCACGGGTGTGGTGCTGACAAACCTAGAAACATAATCGGGGCGAACCGGGATTCGAACCCACAAATTATTGGTTTCTGGCATGTCGAAGGGACGCAACTCTGCACAGCGAATCACGGCGCCTTAGACGACTGGGCCACCCGTGCCCCCCTGCTAAAGGCAGATGATACCAGGTTTTTGTGAAGAGGTGGACGCATCGGGAACACAAGACAAGTCGGTTGTTCACCTGAAAAAACACAGGAAAATATGTTCCAATTACATCAGGGGGCACGGGTGGCCCAGTCGTCTAAGGCGCCGCGATTCGATGTGCAGAGTTGCGTCCTTGCGATTTACAAATCAGGAAAGGATAGTTCACCCCTCCAGATCTAGCTCGAACAAGTCTGGTTCTGAGATTGTTGACAAAAAGTAACGTTCTGCTCCAATTGGTTCTAAAGATACTTCTGGATTTTAGTCAGAGCTTACATTGAGGTTATCACGCGAGTGTGTTTGGGGATGGTAAATATCCTGCATTGGGAATAAACATTGTATTTAGCGAGCCTTGGCGGGCTAAATACATAGTGTTTATTCCTAATACAGGATATTTACCATCCCCAAACACACAAGCGTGATAACCTCTTTATCATATAATATCATTCTTTAATTCTGTGCTTCAAAATCGCCTTCCCTCTCTCACAAACATTACCGAAACATTGCGAGTTTTCCTGGAATGCACGCATTAATATTTATTACGTCACAGGGTAAGTGATGTGTCAGTCAGACAGTGACAGTAGCAAATATAGTTCCAACTGAAATCTGTTTCTTATACAGTGGCGAAGCAACATATATACGCAAAACAACAATTGTTTTTAATTGCCTTTCGCGGCAATCCATCGGTCTGTCCGCTAGTGTAACTGCCCTTTGTCAAAGGGACGCAACTCTAACCCTAGACTATGAGAGGTCACGGCCACGGTCAGACATTGTTGACAGTCGGTCTGTCCTGTCATAACGTTAGAAGTGTAGTCAAATGTACACACAGCGACAAAACGAAACAAGGTAACAATTCAAACATATTTCGGCCAAATCCAACAATTTTAATTTGTGGAGAAGGTTTCAAGCCGCAGAGCTCTACAAGCACAGATATGGCTACTGATCCCGCTTGGCTAGGCCTCGTGCCCTCGCAAAATTGTTTCGAAATTTATATCTCCAAATTTGCCAAAACTTATAAAATGCCTTAGCTACGTCACAGTTAGACACTGATTTTCTGTTTATTAGACTGTTCTTTTGATAATGATAGCAATTATCCCTGTAGTTAGTCCAGATTCCCGATGGTTAATTCTGACTCGATCGCCGAATGACGAGGGCGACGCTATGTTTGTTTATAACAGTGAAAGTAGTCCCTACTTGACCTTTGATATTTGCATCTCTATCCGCATATGACACAAACGGATATCGTTTTTATCCTTTGGCCTTATCCTGCCGAGAAACCTACCCATTATATGATAATTGTAGATATTAATCGGGGCATATCATTTAAGAGTCATTCCTTGCTTTTGTGAATGTCAGGTCACCGCGTTTTTGTGGTTCGGCTAATGAGGACTTAGCTGATGTTGACCAGTCGTTAAAATCTGTTGTTTGGGTAGAGGAAAGCTTAATCTGAGGTTTTGTTAGAGGGTTCATGTGGATGTACCAGTTCACCTCTCCATTTTGTGAATTGTAAGACAGCTTTAGTGTCTGGGTTGGTCAAGGTGGGGGTCGTACAAACTCTACCTGTCAAAGGTATAGACTTGCTCATTGGGAATGATTTGGCAGGGGAAGATGTTTGGCTGGTCCTGTTGTTTGACTAGAGCTAGCACTTCGGAAAGTACTTAAAATCTTGAAAAAGACATTCCAGGGATTGTTTCTTCATGTGTTGTTACTCGTGCTATCGCTAAGCAAAGTTATTCTGAGAACGATTCCAGTTATGATTTGGGTGGCATTTTCATGGAACATTCTCTTGACCTGTCTAAATTGTCGAGGGAGAGTACAAACATTTCGGCTGTTAAGAATGTTCTGGGTAGGGTGCAGTTAGTTAAGTTACAGGGGGAGACCCGTGAAGATACGGGGTGCATTAGGTCTTGAGCAATCCATGCTTGCCGTAAAAAGCGACTATGCTTGTCGTAAGAAGCGACTAACGAGATCGGGTGGTCAAGGCTTGCTGACTTGGTTGATGCATGTCATCGTATCCCAACTGCGTGGATCGATGGCTCATGATATCAATCACAGGATTGTCTGGTCCAGAATCGATTATTTACAGACCGCTGTCATATAGCTGGAATATTGCTGAGTGCGGCGTTAAACAACAAACAAACGAAAGAATACAAAAGGGTCGGTCCAAAATGACAGGCAGATTAAGTACACTCCTTATCCTTATCGATCCCCATCACCAGATTTGTTTTTTGCAAATATCATTTCAGTTCATGTGGTACTAAGTCATAATATACATTATTTGAGGACACGCTTATTTGTTTGAACCATTACCTGCCGTGGAAGAGTAAATGGCTTCATAATAACTGCTATGTACAACAAAGCACAGTTTATTATCGTTACAATAAACCACTTGAGAAATACTGTTCATAAGGCCTTTTATATCATGTCTTTTCTAAGGTTGTCTCTGCTATTATGCCAACACTTGAACATGATTGACAAGGCGATTGCTTACAGCATGTAACAATCTATTCATTAAATTTCTACAGAGTTATTTAGGCGTTACTCTCTACCATATACGAGCAGAACAGCCATCGCTATTCGTCTTCTCGTGCAAGAAGATCTCAGGTTTAGTATTGATCTTGACTGAAGTCACTGCGCAAGCAGTTGATTTACCAGCTTTGTGACACACCCTCAGTCCATCGTCCACTGCATAGCAACCAACATGTTTTCTTCAATGATAGTTTGTATCTTTCTGCAGTTTTTCATAGTAGAAATTCAAAGTATTTTCGGGGACATATCAGAAGGTATGGCTGCTTTTGATAAATATTCTGAATGCTCAGCTTTTCAAACACCGCCAGTGAGCCAAGGCGTGTACCGGGTACGTACGAAGACGGGATGTGCCAGAATATGTTCTGAAGACACTGCTTGTGCAGCTTACAGTGTCTCTGGATCTCTATGCCGGACACACGATGAGGCGTTCCAGATTGGAGAATGCTACAGTGGAGGCTGGAAACATTATAATGTAAGTTGAATGCTGTAGTATATCTCCGAAACACAACAGCGTCAGTAGGAAGATATTTAGAGGTTGGAAACAACGTAAATAAATGATACAGCAGAGATCTGATCTTGAAAACACTACACTAAAATGTTACTATAGAGGTTAGAAACACTACAGTGTATGTAGAAAGCCATTGCAGATCTTGGAAATAGCGACAAAACCCTTTCCATATTCATATGATTTGTTTTTTTGTTGTTTAACGCCGCACTCAGCAATATTACAGCTATATGACGGCGGTCTGTAAATAATCCATTCCAGTGATTGTCATGAGCATCGATCCCCGCAATCGGGATATGATGACATGCATCAACCAAGTCATCGAGCCTGACCACCCGATCCCGTTAGTCGCCTCTTTCGACAAGCATAGTCGCCATTTACGGAAAGCATGGGTTGCTGTAGATCTATTCTGCCCCGGATCTTCACGGGTACCTTATTCTTATGAGAACTCGTCGAAAAAATGTCGTTTATACGATTCCGAGTGTATCATCAGAATCACTATCACATGGTGACGATACCAGGTGTTTGCGAAAAGGTGAGAGTATTCTGCCCCAGTTGTGGCACCAATCACAAACACAGTCAATTTTTCACCTGAAAAAAAACGCGCACATGTGGATGAAGTCAGTGAACGGAATTGCATCAGACGTCTTTTTGTCACATGCGTAAGATATGGAAATGTCCTCCACATGTCTACCATAAAACTTTTTGAAAGCTTTACTGAGTCTTTGAATGTTGTAACCTTGATCAAACAACTTCTGAGCAAGAGTCACATGGCACTCTTTGAAATCTTGGTTGTATGTCAAAAGTTGCAAAATGTAAACACCAAAGGCTGGAGCTGCTGGAATATTGCTCGACATGAAGGGAAAAGATGACTATTGGAATTTTGAAGTCATCCATCTTGTCGTACAGTCTTGAAGAGAGTGTTTTGTCACTCTGAATCTTTATGCATAGCTCTAAATATGAAACAGATGAGGCGGCCTCAGTGGTATCCTTTATTTGTAGTTCAGGTGAGTAAATCAGTGGAAGGGAATTTGCTATTTGATTGTTATTAAACGATATCAGATCATCGATATACCGGAAGCTTAAATCAAAGTTCTTTGCCAAATTACCTTGTTTTGACTTTGTCAATCCGAACAGAAATTCCGATTCATATGCATAAAGAAACAGATCCGCAAGAAGGGGAACACAACTGGTGCCCATGGGAATGCCTACTTTTTTAACTAAATGTCTTACCCCCAAACTTTACGTAGATGTTATCTATGAGGAAGTCCAGCATTTCACATAATGTTTTCTCAGTAAACCTCATATGGCATTTGCTTTCATTTTTCACAACTTGTCCTGAATCTCTGAATATAGATACGTAACTGTATCTGTGTACAGCGCGTTTAGTTTGGATCTAGGAATGAAGTTATTCCTTACGTTTGTCGTCTCAATATATGTATTATTAACTTCTCGTCACGATATATTGCCGATATGTTAACTCACTCACTCACTCACTCACTTGAGATTGTCATAGTGGTGTACAAAGTTGAAAAATCAAATGTTTTGACAGAATGGAATTTGGTTCTTTTCTGAGATTGCAAAAAGTCAAGCAAATCCTTTGATAAAGTTTTGAGAATCCACAAGGTATTATATCCACTTGTCTCAAATAATTCCTGTGAATATAAAGAAAGTCCTTCCTTGATTGTATCAAGGATTATGATTAGTCTTTGAGAAAGGGATTTAGTGGTACATTTGCTGGACCCAGCAATATATCTCTCTTTGTAAGGATTTTTATCGAGATTTGGACAAAAGAGAATGGACATGTCTTCGAGAGTCAAAAGTTGACAGTACTGATTTATGGTTTGGGCAGATTTCTTTCTCACTAAACATACTGGCCTTATATGTGGCATTATTTGATATGTCATTTATACCAAGTTCGTTGATGCTTACATATAATGGATATGTTATTTGAGGCCTTGTCAGTGGGAGCAACTGCAAACATTTCATGTAGGGCAGCCAGCCTTTGGATAACAGCCGGCTGGGACATAATGGTTTTATTCCAATTCCGATTCCTCTTTTTAAGACCGCCGTCATATAGCTGGAAAATTGCTGAGTGCGGCGTAAAACAACAAACCAAATCCTCTTTTTAAGTTTGTGCATTCTACCAACGACAACATCACACACTGACTTAACCCACTCTGAAAGACATTCAACAGGTTCAAAGGCCGGAGCTGCTGGAATACTGCTCGACACGAAGGGAAAGTTGATTTCATCCCTCTTGTCTTTCAGTCTTGTGTCGAACCGTCTCACTCTGAATCTTTATGCGCGCGCGCACGCACACACACACACACACATACACGTTATATCAGTGCAATAATCTTGGACGCTACGTCAAACCTCATTTCACCTCACCAAATATGTTCATGCAGTGAAAGAGTTGAACAACTGCGATGAAAATATTGTGCATATAGTAGGTTACTAATTGATCCTATAACATAGCTCTCTGTTATGATTATATTTTTCAGATCCGTAAACGCTGCACGAAAGATGGCAACACTGACATCGATACACTTAAGTGTAAATGCTATGGTGGATATATTGGCAACGACTGTGAAAGACTTATGATCGGTGGGTTGTTTTTCGAGATCATGTGGTGTCATCAATAAAATTTAGTTATCTGTTCATATAAAATTTAACATTATTTTGCCTTTTACGCCCATAATAATGAACAGCAGATGTATTTGTATGAGATGAGCAGATATTTGAAAACGAATTCAATTTTAGTGGTAGACCGTGATTCGTACGAATTAGGTTTATTTATTCCATGTATTCCACAGGCTGACTGATATGACATTTCTCTTCTGATTAATACAGCTGAAATTTGGCATGCACGATTCAATAAATGATGATACAGTGTGTCAACTAATTATTTCTTCTTTTAAGTGAAGTTTCATTGAATTAAGGAAGGCTGCACGTACCTACTATTCTGAAACAGATTGACCGACGAAACAGGTCGAACAATTTCCTTCAATTGATGACAACAGTTACACTTTTTCAGAGGGTTCTGTTATTTTGATGAAATGGAATAAGGGAACGCTTAGTTTAAGACACAGTTCAGTTGTTTATTTATCAGGAAGTTTCAGACTCGTCCACGAAATACGCATTTGAAACAATGCACACAAACACATCCCTACAGTTGCTTTTGCACAAGCAAAAGACTCAAGAAGATCCGGGGAACAATAGGTCCTCAGCAACCCATGCTTGCCGTAAAAGGTGACTATGCTTGTCGTAAATGGCGACTAACAGGATCGGGTGGTCAGGCTCGCTGACTTGGTTGATGCATGTCATCAATCCCAATTGCGTGGATCGATGCTCATGATGTCAGGCACTGGAGTGTCTGGTCCAGACGCGATTATTTTACAGACCGCCGTCATATAGCTGGAATATTGCTGAGTGCGAGGTTAAACAAACCAACCAACCAACCACAAGCAAAACATTATGTAACGGGCATCAAGACCCAGGCACATTCAAAGCCAATTCAGACAAAAGCAGAGTTGATTGAACGACTCCGACTATATCATAAGCAGGTGTTCATAAATTACCCACCAGTGGCACCCGTCACAAACACATGCACAGGCAAGTCACTTGTTTAACTGTGAAAACATTATTGAACGATATTAGATCATTGATATACCTGCAGTTGAAGTTAAACTCCTTGGCAATATTCCTATGTTTCGCTTTGGCCAAATTCCGATTAATGTGCATAAAGTAACATATCACAAAGAAAGGGAGCACGATTGATTTCCATATGGGTGTCTCCTTCTAGGCTACAGGTCTACATTAAAGGATGTTGCATTTTGTAGCGACGCGCATATTTGCTCCAACACTCTGAGACATCACTTCACAGAGATAAGAAGGGGCTTCCTCATTTTTCTTCATTCTCGTGAAGGTTCAAAACAAGTGTCATGATAAAGTTGTTTTCATTGGGTGTATATAGACCAGCCAGTCACAGCCGTTACTGCTGACATCTGTAAGAAAACTTAATCGAGAAACACCACGTCGGTAATGTTTTGTTTGTTGGTTTATTGCTTAACGCAGCACCCGGCAATATTCCAGCTATATGACGGCGGTCTGTGAATAATCGCGTCTGGACCAGACAATCCAGTGATAAACATCACGAGCATCGATCCACGCAATTGGGATATGATGACATGCATCAACCAAGTCATCGAGCCTGATCACCCGATCCCGTTAGTCGCCTCGTACGACAAGCATAGTCGCCTTTTAAGACAAGAGTGGGTTGCTGAAGACCCATTCTAGCCCGGATCTTCACGGTAATGTACTGAGCCTGTATGAATATAAGGATAACTTTGACAACGAATCCGGACATTAAGTACATACTGACAATATACTTTCAGATTGTTCCGAGGGTTTTGACAGTGGTCACTATGAGGGAAAAGAAGGACTGTTTCACATTCACCCTGCTTTGTCTCCGGAACCCTTTCAAGTCTGGTGTAGGATGGCGTATGGCGGTAATACATTTATACAGAGACATGCGCATAACTCCACCAATTTCTACCGTGCATGGCAAGATTACAAAGATGGATTCGGCGATCTACGTTACGATTTCTGGCTCGGAAATGACAAAATGTCCTACCTTGTCAATGGACGGGATTACATACTTGTTTTTAACTACATAGATATGTCCACCTCTTTCATCAGACAGCAGATGTACAAGAAATTCAAACTTAATCGTTCCAATGGTTATCAGATGTCATATGAGGCCACATGGGGAAGCGTAGACAGTTCATATGATGGTGGTGATTGTTTGGGTGAATTGAGGGGACAGCGCTTCTCCACCTTCGACCAAGATAATGATGAAAGCCCTCTGAACTGCGCTGAAGTACACCAGTCTGGATTCTGGTTCAAGAACTGCACCCCCTGTAACCCCAATGGCGTCTGGTCAGAGACTCCAGACAAGAAGAGAGCTGGTGTACCAGAGGAAATGTTCTGGACATCTGTTCATGGGGATAACCTGATGCTATATTGCTGGGCCTTTTTAATAGCCAATTAATTATGATTAACTTTTAGTTGTGATCATTGTAATTCCTGCATTCTGATTCGCTGAATTGGTCACGTGTTATTGCATTCATTTCCCAATGAATGTAAAAACATTAAGCCACGCTCACCGAGGCTGCATATTTTTATTACTACGGAGTGTTTTGTGAAACCAAATATTACAGTCAAGGGAAGTAACTCTCTGCTCACGTGTATCGTCATGCACAGGATATTTAGCCAAATTCATGCATATTCATTGTCCAAACTACCTTTGAAACCGAAGGTAGTGGAGGAATGAAACTGCAAACATGCAGGCTAAATCGCCTGTGGTTTTTTTCCCGCTCCCCGTGGTTCCACATATTTCATGTCTTCAGGTTTCATTTCTCGCCCGCATTTTTCTAACACTGTCTTTCCCTTCTCAGGGAACCAAATTAATGTTCGAAACTGGCGGGAACTGACCATGTCATTCGAAACAGCCGCCTTCTACCGGACATATTTGTTCCGGGTCGTTACAGTCTGACCTGTTCTTCGCCTCTTGCCTTGATTGACAGGTCCTATGAACTTTAGATCATACTTCCCGTTGATTGGCTACTTACTTTATAGGCGTGTCAAGTTAGGTGCACAAATTAAGCAATCCCCTGATCAATCTCATTAAAATCAGATCTTAGTTTTCGCTACCGCTAAACAAAGATCTGAGGACATCCCATCACGGGTCACGTCAGAACGACCTTTCGCGAATTTTGACCGACCAATGAAATGACTGACAAGAAATCGACAGTAGCCAATCAGAAGGCAGCTTTCTTGAGCTTTACGACACTTGTTTCAAACTGGCGACTACGCTTCGAAACATATTTTGAGGTTTTCTCGATTAAAAAAAATAAAACTGATAAGAAGAACATTCTGTAATGGCTTCTAGATGGCCTAGATTGTATTGATATAATCATAAAACCCGTTACTGTCGTTCGGAATACCCCCTGTTAAATATTTCGTGGTTGCATGATAAGAAAACACATTCCGACTGTCACTTTCATGATCTGGAAAGCGACGCTCTGATTGGTTGGATGAAAGGTCGTTCTGACGTGACCCTTAATGGGATGTCCTCAGATCTTTGTTTAGCATAGCGAGACCTAAGATCTGATTTTAATGTGATTGTCCCCTGATTTATGTCACGCTAAATTATTTTTCCTTCACCTGGAATATTTATTAATCTGCTTTGATCTACTTGTATACAACTGTTTTCGGGTGAACTATTGTAGAATAACAAGGACTGTGGATTATTTTCGGTTCATTGAGGTATGAATAAAAAAACCTGACTTATGCAAACTGTTTCTTAATGAATTTTTGGAATTTCAAATTACTCTTGATTCATACAATTATCATGGTCACGCGCTGATGATACACTTCTCATATCGATAGTGAAGGTAAAAAGGTTTCTGAAGCCACCCTGAAAAGCCTATTCACGACAGGTTTGAGGTCATCGTTGTCCTCATAACACTTTCCATGTAGGTGTTCTTTCAGTTTAGGAAACAGGTGGAAATCACTTGGTGCCAGGCCTGGCGAGCATGGAGGGTGAGGAAGCTCTTTGAACCCTGCAACCTTTGCAAGTCGAGAGGTGTGGGAAAAGGCATTGTCATGAAGTAGTACAACTGCAACAGTCTAACATTTATGTGACAGTATCTCTAGCACCTTGATTGAATCTTCATTGATGGAAGTTGAGGGACGTCATCATCAAGGTTTGTTCTCCCAGCCTTAAACATGTCGAGGTCATTAGAAAAGGACTCGACAAGGAGAATATGTTGCTTTTTTAGTTTTATCGTCCATTTGTAATAAGTTCAAGGTCGTCCATGTAAAGGAGGTGAGTAAGAGGTGTTAGAGTAAGAGGTCCAGGATGATATCTTTCTTCTGATTAGCGGGGGAATGGTTGGCTCAGTCTTCTAAGGCGCCGCGATTCGCTGTGCAGAGTTGCGTCCCTTGGGCACGCCAGAAACCTATGATTGTGGGTTCGAATCCTGGTTCGCCCCGATTATGTTTCTAGGTTTGTCAGCACCATACCCGTGCTCGTGGGTTTCAAGTAATGGTGTTTGGACAAATGGGAACAGTTTCCAATAGTGGTTTCGAATACGATCAGGCTCTGGCGCCGAATTGGATTTGGACTTTTAAAATACATTATTCAGGCAATTAGGTATAATGAAACACAACAATGGTGACCTTTGGTTTTCATGTACACAATCATTGTAATCCTCTAACCATGGTTCCTCGAGGTTACAGTTCCTGGGCCTCGACCACAACTGTTTCCAAAACCTTACACTGGAATCCATGGTGGGTCTTTTCTCATCACTGCCATTGGCTGCATTAATTTGCCTGTAAAATTGTTTTTCATTAGATTTAAACAATGTATTTATGAATATAATTTTCTTGTCCCACTTTCTTCTTCTTTGTGTCCAAACCTTTAATTTTGCCCTCAGAGAATCAAAAATTTGATCTAGAATGTTCTCTTTTGTTGGCTTGTATTTTGTTTTTAATGTTTTCCAAATTAATTTTTGTGTCATTGATTACCCCGAGGAGCGTAATTGTAAGCAAAGTTCTATATATTTCCTTGTTTCATTTAGTTTTGTTTGTTTAATATGGTTTTGTTTATTACCCCATTGTGGTTCAATGTCGTTGAAAACTGTATGGAGTTCCAACAGTGTTCGAGCAGCAGCATAGACAGTTTACTACTTATTATCATGCAAAGAACAGTCCCAAGTGAGTATAACAGAAATAATGTCAGTCCCCATTGAGAGTAACAGAAATAATCTCATTTAATTGATCAAGTTGATTCTGTGGAAATGATTGCTTAAATTGTTTAATTGTCCTCTATTTCTCAATCGGTAAATCCCAGATTTGAATATAAAATGACATCAGAAAGATCATCGACATAAAAGGGTTCAGAAGAGGGAGGAACTCAAAATCTTCTAGGGCAACATCAGGGATTTCATTTTGTAAGCCCATGAGGGGTGGGTCATCAGTGACAGCTGCATCAGGTACTTTAGGAAGAACAATCGAACGTCTATTTGCAATTTTAGGTCTGCTACTGATCGCAACAATCTCTCAGCGCATATGCAACTTCAGTCGCCAGAGCTGGTCGTGAATATTATGCTCTGTAAGGTATACATACATTCGTATGGATTTGTCCGAATGATGCTTCAATAATTTGCCATTTTCTCTCATAATTTCTGGCCACCCTTTTGCTTTCGCACACTCAAGAAGTGTGGACTTAAACGTTGGTCCGTCCACCGTTATTATTAATAATATTATTATTATTATTATTTCTTATTATTGTTATTGTGATAATGTTTGTCCACAACAAAGTGTCACTCTCGACTCAGACTTGTTTTTGCACAGCTTTGGTATTGTGTGTAGCGTGATGATGCAGCTTTCATTCCTTTAATCCGACTTTGATAGGCACTTTTTTATGTAAACTGAGCTGGAAACAGGCTCCATGTCTATTCACGATGAACCATTTGTCAATAATAAAAGCAACAAAACTATTCATGTTCATAATAAATATCTCCCAAAAACCTTTTCCATCACAAGGGATAAATATTTCCAGGTCACATCTATAAAGAATCTTTTTAATACGGAAGCGTAGTGGGGCCACGGTGAAATTTAAGTAATTTAAGTCTAAGTATCCCCTTCGAAGGACTTACTATCTCCTACGTAGGACTTAGTATGGCCTAGAATTACTGTCTCCTTCACAGGACTTCGTATCTCCTACGTAGGACTTAGTATCTCCTACGTAGGACTTACTATCTCCTACAAAGGACTTAGTATGGCCTAGAATTATTATTTCCTACGTAGGACTTAGTATGGCCTAGAATTACTATCTCCTACGAAGGACTTACTATCTCCTACGTAGGACTTAGTATGGCCTAAAATTATTATTTCCTATGTAGGACTTACTATCTCCTACGTAGGATTTTTATATCTCTTACGTAGGACTTACTATCTCCTTCGTAGGATCTTTTATCTCTCACGTAGGACTTAGTAAGGCCTAGTATCACTATAGAATCCTTATCTCCCACGTAAGAGTGACAACTATCCACAAGACTGAGCTCCAGCCTGCTGTGTCTACATTTTACACCTCAGGTACAATTGACAATGCTTTAACACTGTCTCTGTCTAGTTCTGATTGTTGGAATAGCCAATTCGTCGGCGTATAAGATAACAAAGATAAACGGGTGATCACGCACGAGCACTGAATATAAATCGACCGATCCCCAATGACGGTAAAATGAAGTACATCCATTATTAAAAGACATGTCGGACTCCTTCACCTGCGTTGTTTATTGCCAATGTTATGACATATCATGCGGTGCGAGTCATGGGACACCTGCACGTTTAAAAACATTACCTGCCTGGGGGAGTAAATAAGGAGACTCAATGACATCGTCATGAACAACATAGCACAGTTTATTATTGTTCCAATAAATTGCTGCCGGGAATTTATTGAATAACACTCAAGAAAAATATGGAAATATGGCCTTTTTATCATGTTTTTTTCTGAGGTTTTCCTGCAGTTATTCCAACACTTGACAGTCATTGGCAGGTTTGTTGCACAAAGCGTGTTACAATTTATTCATTGGTTGGTTGGTTTGTTGTTTAACGCCGCATTCAGCAATATTCCAGCTATATGACGGCGGTCTGTAAATAATCAAGTCTGGACCAGAAATTCAGTGATCGACGTCATGTGCATCGATCCACGCAATTGGGACCAATCAACCAAGTCAGCGAACCTGACCACCCGATCCTGTTAGTCGCCTCTTTCGACAAGCATAGTCGCCTTTAAGGGCAAGCATGGGTTGCTGAAGACATTCTAGCCCGGATCTTCACAGGTCAATTTATTCATTAAATATACACAGACTTATATAGAGGTTACTTTCTACATAAGGTACAATATAGGAATAGATCAATCATCGATGGTCGTATTCTCGTGCAAGAAGATTGATTTCATGATTAGATATTGATACACTGGCTATGTGGCACTCCCTCAGTCCCGTCGTCCACTGAACAGCGACCAACATGTCCTCTTCGATGATAGTTTGTATCGTTCTGCAGCTTTTCATGGTAGAAATTCAAAGTATTTTAGGGGACATCTCACACAGTATGGCTGCTTTTGTTAAATATTCTGAATGCTCCGCTTTTCAAACACCGCCACTTAGCGAAGGCGTGTACCAGGTACGTATGAAGACGGGATGTGCCAGGATATGTTCTGAAGACACTGCTTGTGTAGCTTTCAGTGTTTCTGGAGCTCTATGCCGGACACACCATGAAATGTTCCAGACCGGAGAATGCTACAGTGGAGACTGGAAACACTTTACTGTAAGTTGAATGCTACAGTAAATCTAGTTAACACTACAGAAGTGTTATTGTAGAGGTTAGAAACACTACATTGTAAGTAGAATGCTACAGATGGAAACACTACAATGTACTTAGAATGCTGTTGTAGAGGTTGGAATTACTGCAGTGTATGTAGAATGATATCGTCGAGGTTAGAAACACTACAGTTGTAGTTGAATGTTGTAGAGGTTGGAAACACTACATCATCATCATCATCATAACAATAATAATAATAAATACAAGCAGCAATGGCGGGCTCCAAATAACACGCAAGCACAAGCGTACGCAAC